GGAGGCAAACTGTGACAGGACCTTTGGCCATTGTGAAGACTTTGAATCTGACCCTGAGTGAGATGGAAAGGCATGGAAGGGTCATGAGCAGAAGAGTACTGTGATCAGATTTAGGTTTTTAAAAGATCATTCTATCTACTGTGTTGAGTATTGTCTGAAGGGGACATGACTGAAATAAGGAGGAAGAACAGATTAGGGTTGACGGTGGCCTGGACCAGATTTGTAGGGGTGGAGGTAGCAAGAAGTGGACGGATTCTGGATATATTCCTGATAGCGGACCACTAGGATTTGCTGATGGACTGGATATAGGGTTTGAGAGGACATGCAGTTACCATGGATTGGCCCAAGCAGCCAAAAGATGAAGTAATCATTAACCAAGATCAGAAGGGTCCTGAGAGGAGAGGTATATGGAGATGGTCAGGAGTTCAGTTTTGGATCTGTAAGATCCAAGATGGTATTTTGACATCCAAATCGAATAAGAAGTTATATCCATATATGACTCTGGAATTTAGGGATGTGGTGCTTACTGGACATACAAATTTGAGAGTTGTCAGAACCTAGATAATATTCGAAGCTATTGAAAATGGGCAAGCTCACCAAGGGAAGGAATTGAGATAGAGAAGAGATGAGGTGCAAGGACTAATCGTTGGGTATTTCAGAGTTTAGATGTCAGGTTGATAAGGAGGGACGGTACATCCAGGGACCTAGAAGGAGCAGTAATGAGATAGGAAGAAGACCAGAAGACCAGCGAAGAAAACGGTTCGGCAAGGGGAAGAGTGGCCAACTGTATCAGATGCTGCCCCTGGCATAGGTCAAGTAAGATGAGGACCAAGAACTGACTTTTGAATTTAACAACATGGAGATCATTGGTAGTGTGACCTTTATAAGCTGCATTTCAGTGGAGTGTTGGGAGTGATTGAAGTAGATTTAAGAATTTAGTGGAAGAAATGAAGAGAGTGAATATGCACAGTTTTTCAAAGAGTTTTGCTTTAAAGGAGAGAGAGAAATAGAGCAGTAGCTGGAGGGGGATGTGAGTCAAGAGAGAGTTCTGTTGTTTTTTGTTTTTAAAGTGGGAGAGATTATGGCATGTTTATGTGCTAATGGGAATGATCCAGGAAAGAGGGAAAATTGATCATGCAGATGGGAGAGACAGTCCACTGGAGAGAGATCCTTAGTAAGTGAGAACAGATAGATTCGGTGCAGAAGGAAAGGATTGGCCTTACATTGGATTACAAATTCATTCAAAATACAGGAAGGCAGGCAGATAATCAGAACAGACAGAGGTAGATGGATAAATGTGATGGCAGGAGCTTGTGAAAAATTTCTCCTGATTACTTCTAATTTCTCCATGAAATGGAAAGCCAGGTCATCAACTGAGAGTGAGGATATGGGAGAAGTTGGATATCTGAGGACAGTTGAGAGGTGTGAAATAATTCTCTAGGAGAGTAGAAGAAAGAGTGGCCTAGGAAAAAGTACAACATGATGGCTGAACAGCACCAGAGGCCAATTTGAAATTCATGCTCAAAAATTCAAAGAATAGAACCCTCAGTAAAAAAAAAAATTCAAAGACTAGTATGTATGCACGGTAGTGTGTCTTCTGCAGCCAAGTTCAGCTGCGTGGGAGGGCTCACAAGTAGGTAGAGAGTTCAGGTTTTGCCGTGTAAGGGAGGGGAGAGTACCTGCGAGACAGTGACTAACCACAGAATTTATCCTGGGTAAAGAGGTAAAGTCAGGACACAAGGGGGAGGGACAGGGACAGAGTAAATTGGTTGAAACGATCAAGGAATTGTAGATGACCATAGGGTGGGAGAATTGTTGAACTGGGGTTTTAGAGGAAGAAAACTAGAAAGATAAGATGTGGTGGTCAGAGAGTGGGATGTTTAAAATGGTCATTAGGGTGAGGTTACAGCTGGAAAGGACAAGGTCTGCTGACACAGGGAGGGGGACAGATCACTACCACAGAGAGGAGGTCAAGAAATTGAGATAGCAAGGTGTTGAAATTATCACCTCTGTGGATAGTGAGTCATCAAGAATTACGGCAGAAGAAATGTTGGAGAGGGAGTGACAGAAAGCTAGGAGCTAATGTCTTTAAGGAATGAGGGGCAATGACCAGGCAGGAAGTAGATAGGGGGTCAGCAGGTGACATAGTCTGGTATCCCTTTACTACCAGTATAGGCTTTTGAATATCATGTGCCTCACTCCAGAAAGTAAGTTGTACAGATGTTTTATTTGTTTGTTTTTAATGTTCCATTACCAACTTAATGTCCAATTATTATTAAATATGTGGAGCCCAGTTTAGAAGAGTTTGATTCTGATTCATATTGCCAAGGATTTTTCTGATCATGTGAGCTTGCCTTTCTCACCCTAATCTTGATATCCAGTAGAGAATTTACGACATTAAGAAAGTGTTCAGCTCCTGGCTGTGGTGCTCATATGGCCTTGGACAAACAACTTAAACTCTCTGAAACTTAGTTGGTAACTTCATCGGTAAGAGGGGAAATAATATTTGCCTATTAGGCTTATTGTGAGGATTAAAGAAGATAATGTGAAAGCATCTAAGCATAAGCATCTAAGCGTTATCCCCAGCACATAATAGGAGCTCAATTAAAATTTATTTAATTGATCAATACATACAGATTTTTTTTTAAAAGATTTTATTTCTTTGACAGAGAGAGCACAAGCAGAGGGAGTGGCAGGCAGAGGCAAAGGGAGAAGCAGGCTCCCCGCCGAGCAGGGGAAGCCTGATGTGGGACTCGATCCCAGGACCCTGGGATCATGACCTGAGCCAAAGGCAGTTGCTTAACCAACTGAACCACCCAGGCGCCCAATACATACAGATATTTTGATTAAAAAATACTACAAAACTGACCATCTCTTCTTTCTGGAAAAAAGAACATCCTTTATGAAAAGAAAGTGTACCATTGGATAGTTTATATATGGTATGTAGAGTTTATGTTATAGATTAGCTCACCAAATTGGGAAATCTGTAAAATGGGTTAATATTGCAATAAAAGTTTTTATTCTACACTCATTATGTGATTAAGGCAAAAATATTTTTATTACAATTATCCAAGTTCAGTAAAAAAATTAATGAGGCATTCACTGCCTTGGGCAGACTAGCATGAAATTTAATTTGCGTTAATTTGCCCAAAAGTTAGGAAGCAGAAGTATACTGTTTTTAGAATTTGAGTCTATGAGAGGGAAACCAGTATTTTATGAGATGTTTCTGTGCATAGATATAGATTCCTCTATCATCTTCTTCAGGCAATTAAAAAAATCACCATGAGCATCATAGAAAATGGATCAATATCAGGTGCTTAGTGCCAACTGGGTACCGACAGGATCTATAGAAATCAGGAATTTTTATGAGACACGGTGAGCATAGTGTATTTGTATATTGTATATCTATAGAGGAAAGAGTGATAGACTTCAAGTCAAGTCACCTAGCTTCGAAGGCTGGCTCTGCTGGTTGTTGAATGCAGGGCTTTAAACAAGGCCTTACATTCTTCATCTGAAACCTGGGTATGACAGTACTTCATGTGGTTGCCATGTTAATTGAATGAGGGAACATATACAAAAATATCCGCTATATTATGTTAGTCAGAGGTGAAGGAATCATAGTCATGCCTTCTGGGGATTGGAAGAGGTTGTTAAAGATAGCATTATGAGGTATCTCCCAGAGTGAGTCTAGGTCATTTCCATCATTTTTCCTTCTACCAGGCTGGAAGACATGCAGGGCTTTTTGAGAAAATTAGTCCGGAAATGTCAAAGAATAGCTGGTAACTAAGCTGTTTCTTCTTAGATTCGGGATATTTTTCTGACTGAGGTGGATAGAAAGATTTAATGGTATTGTAGAGGGTCAATAAGAACCATTCAAGGGATGGACCGACCTGAAATCGTATTAAAAGGTGAAAGGACCTTCCAAAACTTCCCTGACCCCAGCTCTCATACACATTTGGAGACTGAAGCTCAGAAAGGATAGTTACAGTGATATTTTGAAATGAATTTAAATTATAACTATTGTCCATTAAGGTTGAGGAACACTTGGTAAATACTGCAACCATGAGAATATTGTTTCAGTCAGTCTGTGAGGCTGGTGTCATAGGTCTTTAATTCTTTCAACCAATTACAGTGCCTCAAGGGAAATTGAGAGGCAGATAACGATGTCTCCCTGTAGAGGGAGAGACTGACCTTCATACAGGGTCTGGTAAGTTTATTTGAACTCGAGTACCATTATGACAGAATGATCTGGTGTGACCCATCCTTGGCACCCACTAGGATCTGGAATGAGGCAATGTGTGTTATTCTGACAAATTGCAAGGCTCTCGCTGCTCTTCACTCCTGACTCCTCCAACTCAGCGCCAGGCCAGGGCCTCGGGAGTAATGACATCCAAGATGATCCTTCCATGATTATGAAAATAGAAGCTCCTTAAAGGAGCATCCCTACAAGTTCAGCCACAGAAATAGGTAGACATTTGCATGGATACTAAATATATGCTTTGCTAAATCTGACTCTCTGGGACATACTTGATCAGTTCTCATCTTGATCTTCCCTTTGTACAGTTCTCAAGCCAAGGTGAAGACACAAGCCTGCTTAACAGTGTCATTAAAATAGGATTCATGCTACCAGTCCTTTTGTTTTATCATCCTGGGAGATCTTAAAAAATGATGTCACATGTAACTTTCGGAATTGACTACCGCATTTGTTTCAAATGCCAAGTGTTATTCAAGCTTTGCTGTATGTAATGTTGTAAGAACCCTGCTTTTATGTTTCAAAACCATCAGTAAATTGCTCTATTGTATTGCTTAATGCCCAACCATAGCATCGGGGAGATGTGCAGGACTCCTCCAGGGAGCACTTAGCCCCGTTTTGTCATTTGCTTAGAACGTCAAACAGAGCCCCCTTTCAGAATGTATGGGGGAGGAGTGCCAATGCCACCCGGAAGAACATATAGAGAGATATTTCCCCCTGTTTTATTTTATTTTTTGAATCCATACAGGCAGCAGCCTCAGATTCCAATCACCACAGGAACAGGTGTTGTGTATCCTGGTGCTCTTACTATGGCAACTACCACACCGTCACCTCAGATGACATCTGACTGCTCTAGCACCTCGGCCAGCCCAGAGCCCAGCCTCCCGGTCATCCAGAGCACTTACGGTATGAAGACGGACGGCGGGAGCCTAGCTGGAAATGAAATGATTAATGGAGAAGATGAAATGGAAATGTATGACGACTATGAAGACGATCCCAAATCAGACTATAGCAGTGAAAATGAAGCCCCGGAAGCAGTCAGTGCCAACTGAGGAGTGTTCATTTGCTGAATTAAAATACTTTGACATTTCACCTCCCCTCCCCCAACAAAAAGTTCTTAAAGAGCCCGCATGCATTTGTGGCTCCATAATTACATCAGCAGAATGGTCTTAATTGTTTCGTAAAGTGTGAGACAGATTAAGTTTTCCCGGATTTTTCATGAACTTGAGTTTTTGTCGTTATTGTTATTGTTGTTGTTGTTGTTGTTTTAATTTAGGTGAAGACATATTAAATATGAGACACCAGGACTTGAAAACTTATCTCAACCCATAGCTGTCTTACAAGTCTTATATTTTTGTCTTACTTTTTTTTTTTTCCTTTTGGATGTTGATAAAAGGTTTAAGTTACTGTTTTAGATGGGGTTAAACATTCTCACTCAGGTATGCTGTGCCGGCCTACAGGTTGTGAATGTGTTTTTATTCTGAATTATTTGCGAGAACAACTGAGGATTTCATATTGTGAAACAGAACAAGTCCACAGAGTGTGCAGCTGCATGTAGAGCATATTCAAAAGGCCTCGGAATTCCATTTTTCCATGTGTAGAGTTAAACTTTGAATGTGCCAAACTTTTCTCAGAACTTTTGAATCTTCATATTTTGGAAGTCTTAAAAGGAGACACTGCGAAGTCTTAGACAATCTTTGGCATCTTAAAATAAAATAGCAAACCGCACATTTTTTTTTTTTCCAGAAAATGGTAAAGTACTCAGGAATCTGGAGACAAGAAATTGTAAGGAACGAACAAGGTTGCCACAGTGCACGTACCCAATCGTGTTTGCCTCTTGACGTGCCATCAGTGTGTAATGGGCCGCGCCGAGCGCGCCCCAGAGCGTTCACCACACCAGATACCCACGTGGTGGTCTTCTCTGCCTGAGACCACCTCTCACTACATCCATTATCCCTTCACCTTTTAACCCTGACATTCAGTCTTAACACATTTTCTCTTAAATAATTTATTCATTCCAGAATGTCGAGGGTCCACTTACTATTTATTTGAAAAAAAATGTTGGTGGCATTAATTTAATAATTCTTGTTTTTCACCCTCCTTCCCTGAAGATCTTTTCAGCCCCTTTCACCTCCTTCTCCTGCTACATACAAAAGATGTACATAGTGATTTTATGTCCCCAGAGCATCTGGAAGCATTTCTGAAACAAGATTCTATTAAATACTTATATTGTTTTTAAACATAAATGTATATCTGGCTGTAGGGCTGTGTATTTGGATACAGGTGTGTAGTCTTACACTTCGACAGGTATGCCCCTGAGGTTCTCTGTGACCTCAAGTCTTTTGCCAGAAATTTCCCTCTAATCCAGTTTAGCAACAGTGGTAGGATCTGTATCAGCGGCATTTCCCCTAAACGCCATTTGGCTGCAAGGGTCAGCAGTGGTGACTGCCAGGCAGGAGGGTCCCGCAGCCAAGCCGAAAGCCCAAGGTTGTGGACCACGGAGGAGGCCACAGTGATGCCGTCATGGGCTGGCACCTCCACAATGAGTTGCCTTGTTGCATCTGGCACACCTAGGGAGTTTTGTTTTTTGCAAAATCCCCAGGATCCAAGAAGCACATGACAGCCTCAAGGCAAAGATAGAGGCAAATAGTCATGATACATCCAGAGAATGAAAGAAAACCATAGGGAAGGAGAAGGAGGGGAAATACATTCCCTAAAGGGGATGTTCCTACTGTTAACTCTGGGGAACGGATGACTCCTGGGGCAGCAGATGAGCTCCTCTGGCTCCCTCCCTCCACCAGTGGCCACGTGGGGAGGGGGGCATGCCTCCCTGTGAACACGATTAACGGCACTGGTCACACGAGGATTTCTCTGGAGATGTGCTGATGGGCTGGGAGGCAGTGAGGTTTCATTCCCCTTTCCCATCTACTGTGAGCTCAGCCCTGCCATTTTGACCTTCCTGAAACCAGGACTGACTGCCAATGGTGGGGGAGGGAACCTCACCTGGAGTGGTTCAATGGGAAAATGTCAGTTAATGGGACAGTTCACCTCATGGGACAACCCAGAATCTGATCACCAGGACATAGGAACGGCCCCATCAGATTTCTTGAGCCATTTTGTCACTTGGAAGAAAATAGTGTACCTTCATATTTATTTAAGGAGTGCTCAAGGCCATACCTAATAGTAATAAATAGGTCTAGCCAAGATGTTATGGGCTGTGTCATTAGCTGGGAGTGCTCTCCATAAGCTGATTAAGGTACTGATAGGAATGTTTTGTTCTTAGTATTGGTTGGGGATTGGAACTTTGTTTTGTACATTTATTTCAAATGAGGAGGAGGTCATTTTTTCTCAAAAAATGAATATTTATTATTGTCTTACTGATTTCTTTTGACTATATACCTCTCCTCCTCACTTCATACTCATGTGTTTTTCTCCTTCTCTTTGGCTCTTGCTTTTGCTCTCTCCTCCTCTCTCCTCCTTTTTTTTATTTTGCTGCATAGGTAGAGTGCTGTATGGCTAGCATTGTATTGTATGTAATTAATTTTGCACAAAGGCAAACATTTAGAAGAGTAGGTTAATTTTGTTTGTTTTTATGACCATGCCAAAATAATATTCTGGGCTGGTGGAGAACAAAGGACTGTTCTTTAGGACTGAAACTTGATTTTGCTTGTAGTTAAAAAAAAAAAAAAGAAAGAAAGAAAAAAAACAACAAAAAACACACACACTCACAGATGTTGTTTCGTAAGTGTTATAAGCACTGGATATAAATGGTATTTTTTATCACTTCTGACTAATGTGAAACTGTTGTAAGAAAACGACATGAACAAAAGTCATCTGTTTCGACTCGTGTGGGCTTGCCTCACAGTTGCCGGATTTGAGTCATTTTTATGTCTTGTTATTTCATTTATTTATGCAAAATACATGTGTGTATGAACACTTTGTTTTAGCTCCAGCTCTGCCTCAGTACTGGGGTGCAGTTACTTCTAGCCATGTTCTTAAAAGTGAAAGGCTATTCAGGAATGATCTGATTGTAAACGTCTCTTTCATTGGGTCAAACAGTAATGCTGTATTTGAATCTAAATTCTGCGTATAAGCAGGTTATTCTATTTATTAGCCAAGTTTGGCTCTAAATGTCCATGGAAATTAAAGAATGACAATCATAGGGATCACTTCATTTTCTTTTCAGTGGGGCTTAAACAAAGTTTTTATGACTTTACCATCTCATTTTAGATTTTTCTAATTGTGTAAATATAACATAGAAATAGAATTTATTTTTGGTTCATGAATACTTAGTGAGATATAAGTTATGTATTTCCTTTTCGTTCTCTATCCATGTATGTTGGTCCAGACTAGAAGTTGACAAGTCACTGTACCTCATGGGGATAGTGAATTAGCCACCACAGTGAGAGAGCAATGTTTCACCTGTCGCTGGGGCAGTCACACCCTTCTCTAGGGCTCCCACGCAGTTTGGAACCCACTGTCCACAGACTCAGACTTTCACTTACTTTTTTATTATAGAAAGTCGATGAATTGAATATCCTAAATTTCCAGGACAGCTCGGGGAGAGTCAATTTGCTTTTGTAAGTCCACCTAAATCTTATAAGGTAGTTCGGTGACCATTTAATAGCAAGAAGCGTGAATGCCATTCTACAGGCAAAAATCTGCCTCTGAGAGTGACCGTTAATAAAAGTCCTACCATGCCAGTTAGATTAAAGAATGCTCATCAACCTTTTTCCGTGCTTCCTCTTTCACAGTATCTTCAAATCAAAGACAAATCATCTCCATGTTGTTAAAGAACTTAGAGGATCAGGATTTTCCTTGTCATTTAGAATAGGGACACTGGCTCACGATCCTCTCCTAAAAAATGGACCATATGGGTTAGGAAGGAAGGAAGAAAAGGAAGAAAGGAAGGAAGGAAAGGAAGAGAGAAAGAAAAGAAGGAAGGAAGGCAGAGAAAGAAAGGAAGGAAGGCAGAGAAAGAACGGGAGAAAGAAAAGGTCAATCCACGGACAGGAGCAGCCTGGCAGGCGGTCTCTCCATCTTCTTGGCAGAGGCGATGCAGTACCTTTTCCAGGAAGGTGGGAACATTTGTCATTTTCACGTGTATACAGCTCGGTCTTTTAGGAGCCCATCAGTTTGCTTCATTTGGTATTTGATACTCCCCAGCCTTGTCCGCAGGCCTGATTCGATACGCCAGGGTCCTGACTCGGTCTCCCAGGCCAAGTTCTAAATTCAGGTGTGGGCTCACAGCACTGTTGAGCTTGTCAAATGCTGGCCTCCCCTGAATGTTAGCCCCACTGGAGCCTGGGGTGTTTGAAAAGGGTGTGATCCCTCTAGGGCTGAAATTAAAGGCTTCTTTCTTTTCCTTGTGAAGCCAGGCTGCTTCTTCGGAGCATAGCCTCCCGAGCCAGGAGCAGAGGCGCTAGCTGAAAGCAGGGATTGTTCCGAGGAAGCCCGTCCACCCCCAGTAGGAAGGCAGCCTGGTCGCTTGAACACCACAGGCAGAGGCGGCTTCTCTCAATTTACTCATTTTGCAGAGAGCTGACCTCTACCCACTCATTAGGGAAAGGAAAAAGAGTCACTTAGTAGTTTTAAACCATACGAGAAGTCCTGTACCAAGTGCCAACAACTACAAAGAATGCAGCTAGAGGAATGTATTGAAATTATTACTGGGTCTTCCTTTATAACGAGAAAATGACAAGAATGGTTGCTGTAGCCTTGCCTGATTCTGTGCACGTTTGTCTAAGGACTGAGTTGGCACTTAAGCTCACTTCTCAAAGTATAATACTATTGTATGACCTCATTTGTCCTTTTACAGAAGCACTTGCATCATTTCCTTAAGTCATCTGCCCCCTGACATGTTTTCTTCCTTAATAAACAACTTCTATCTGTTATTCCTGCCGATTATGTCCTGTTTCTGATGCCATATACTGTTGAGTGTAACCCTCTGCTAATATCATTGAAAATATTGATATGCAAACGCATTTCCTTTTCATCCCCGTCCCATCTTTCCTGCTGGGGACAGATTGCTTTCCAAAAGCTCACGAACAAGTATTCGGAATGCTGGTACCTTTGGGGCAGGGCTAGAGGGTGGGGAGGGTGGGAAGGGCTCAGACAGGTAATGTTTAGCACAGATACTCTTCCAACTGGTGTCCGTGGCTATATGAACGCTTGACGGCAACTCAGTGACATATCTTGCTCAGTAGTTTCTTATTCCTGAAGAACCACAAGCATAAGGTGAGGCCTCAGTGCTGGTGCTCTTGGAGTATGGGGAATGTGCAAATATTTAACTGTTTTGTATGCTGCACATTGCAGGTCTGCTCCTGTGCATTCTCCGTTTGTCTTCCTTTGTCATATGTGTTTTTGCTTTTTTGAGAGTGCGCTCTTTATTGTACCCTTCTTCGGCTTGTAGCAAATTAGAAGGCTTAGCATTTATGTTCATTCATTATTGTATTTGCCATGTAAAATTTTTATTACCTTAGACAAGCTTATAAGCTGTTACTACATAACTTATCTTACTGTAACTCTTTTATTTCCCGACCTTGTAATTTGTTTGTGATGTATATTGTGAGATTGTATCCTATGTTAATTTAATCAGCACGATTCACTGACATGCTGGACTGACATGCTGGCTGCTGGTTCAAGGTGTAAAGTTTGTGTAGGGCCGTTGGGGCGACTGCAGCTTGTTGTCAAGGTACTGGGCTTTGGCTCCCCTAGCAACACGGGGGTGCGGCCCCTTAGGATGCTAAGGGCGTTTGCTACAGCCTCGAGCAAATTTAACTGCAGATTTCCTTTGTAGAAATTCTATGTATAACGCAGGTACCTACTTGGCCCATGGCTGGTAACTATTTGGGCAATTAGAAAAAACACAAAAACCATAAAAACTAGTGTCTATTGCTGCTTTGAATATGTTTGAAAGTCTGAAAATGTAAATAATTTATCAAAAAAAAAATCTTGTACAGTCCAGTGTAAAGTTTTTAAATGATCTTAAGGGTTGCCATCACGTGTCTCTCACACTCTCCTCTTGATAATGGAAAAAAAAAAAAAGTGTGCTAAGGATTAAAGAAATGGGAAAAGAAAAAAAAAATCTCTTCAAATTTAAAGGAATGAATCATTGTTCTTAGCTTTGTTGCATACACACATTTCTTGGATTTCGTTGTGCAGTATTGATGTGAGATAAACTCGACATTGAATAATCTTTCAGTGGTACTTTTCAAAGTCTTCCCCTCCTCTGCCTCATAATTAAGGGAAAAGACAAAATTGAAAGACACTGTCTTTACCTATCCTGGTGTATGTTGGCACCTTAGCTACTTTTTTTTTTTTTTCTTTTTGCACAAGGTGCTTTCCTGATATGTTAAACACGCCATCTTTGGGTGATAATGTATATGCCATGAAGGGGCCTCGGGCCCTCAGGGGAGTGTCTATAAGAACTGCCTATTTATGCTCATTTACCTCAAGACTGTCCTCTCTACCCTTAATCTAGTCGTCATCACTCCATCTTTTGTACTGCTGTTGACACTTACAAATTAAAGATAAATTTTGTTTTATGACCTCTGTGTATGGCCTTGTCTGTGCCCTGGACACTGTTCCCACCGTGGAGCCCGGGGAAGGCCCGGGCTCGCCCCCCACTCGCTGCTGGAGCCTGCAGAGCTCTCCAGCTCCTGGCCCTCGCCTCTGCCCGGCTGGGAGGTAGGTCTCAGAAAAGTCTTCAAACTCCTTGGCCTGGAAACACTTGCCTGCGTTTGTCATTGTGGAGCAAACGCTGCTGTGGCAGGAAATGCTTGTGGATTTAGACGGTAGGAATGGGATCCAAGGTGGCTTTTTGTCAAGAGAAGAGGAGAGAGAATGTCACTTCCCATTTGCCTGACTTCTTCGTGACAGCGAAACAGTTTACAAAAGCTCCGAGCATCCTGGGGTATGAACAAATCTCCAGGGCCAGCCTCTCATCTGACACCAACCTCGACGAGCCTAGCAGCCGCCACGAGTGGAAAATGCCGCACTTCTGGAACCTTTGCCGCCGCCATGGTTGGGAGTGGTTGGCCGATGTCCCAGTTGCTTCTGCCTCAGAGAAGGAGAGCTCCCACCCCATTGTCCAGACAGGAGCTGGACTGGGAGTGAACCCCTGCTCCAAATGATACCAGTTTCTAAGAGTCTCAGGGATGGAGGTGGGCTAGTGGGCTGAAGGGAGCCAGCCCTGGGAGGAGACTGGCCCACCCAGCCGAGCCTGTGCCGTGGACGCCAGAGGTTAGTGACCAACACCTGGAGAGTGAGACGAAGGGGGAAGGGGAGGCCCAGCAACTCTTTGTCGCTATTTTCTATGAAAACGGAGTCATTAGAGAAAAGGAGCTGCGGAACTTTTCTTTATCACAAATTGTAAGTTTGGTACAGCTGTCCTGAAAGCCTGACTTGGCCGTGAGCCTCCCTCCTGCCCCGTGGCTTCTTAAAAGCCCAGGTAAACATCGGGCATTGCTTTGGACTCCCGCCAACGTGGCTCTGCCGCTTGCCAGCCTGTCTGACCTTCCCCAAGGGAGTCCTGAGTTTTCGCCTCTGTAAAATGGGATAAGAATCCCTGCCTCTCAGGGTTGTGGGGGGAATTAAAAAGCACGTGTAACACAGGCCTACACGCAGAGCACACGGATAAAGCCTGCCTCCGTTGATGGGAGAATGAGCTTGGGGAGGGCGTCGGTGTCACCGACTGAGCAAAGCAAGGGACTTGCCTGAGGCCTTAGTTCAGAACCTGGTCACATGCCTGGTTACGCAACCTTCCTGCAAGGTTTCCTCCTTTCCAGGGCATCCTTACTCCTGCCTTCCATCTTCCCTCTCCTCTCCTCTCCCCAAATGTTCTGACTTTCGTAGCTGACCAGATAAAATCCAAACGTTCTACCCAGATAGTCAAGCATCTGCAGACCTGCCCGCCTTGCTTGCTGCCTGACATAACCTTCACCTTCTCCCTCTCCTCTCACCCCCCTCAGCCCGTCCACCTCCCCGGGGCTCGCTCTTCTCCTTTCACTGGGATACATCCGTCCCCTTCTCGGTTTGGGAGATTCCCACTCCTCTTTCACACCTCACCCCAGATCCCCACCTTGGTCAGACCTTGTCCCGCTCACCAGGCAACTTCAGGCTCTCCTTCAGGGCCCCCAGGCCACTTCGAAAGGACCTCTACGACCACGTTTCCTACACAGTAATCATTTGTTTCTGTGTCTGTCTTTCCCGCTAGATGATGAGCTACTGAAACCAAGGACTGTGCCTTGGCGCTCCCAGCTTCCAGCACAGTGCTTGGCGTATAGTAAGTGCTCAACGCTTCTTGCAGAATCATGTATGAGTGGTGGCACCTTGTCCATGTGTGGTAGAGATGCCTGCGAGGATCAGGGTCTTACGTGGTGGGGATGACGGAGCCTGTGGTGGTACCTTGGTGCTAGTCACTTCATTTGGAGAAAATCTGTAGTTAAAACATCTCTGTTCATTTTGCGTGAGGCATTTCCAGTCAGTGTGGTGGCTTTTCCCAATCAGGTGTCAGGGCAGTAAGAGTCCCCCTGTTCTGGGGAGGACCCACACTATGGGATGCTCAAGTTTTCAAGCCTAGAGCCACTGATCTGTCCTTCCTTGTGGGAATCCTGGCTGGAGTAGGGAAAGGACAGACCAGAAAGAGGAAGTTTGATCGGTTTGCCCTACTCTGCCCTTGACATCCCAGGGCCCAAGATTGCCCTCCACACTCTGCCCTAGGTCCAGGTGTACTGGGAAGCCTATCCCCTGGGCATTCCTCATGGGGGAAGGCGAAACAGAGCTGCTCTATTTGCTGCGGACAGAGAGGGCAGTCATCCCGCAAGGTGTCCACTTGGTATTCTCTTCCTCTTTGACAAAAGAAACCCATGGCCCAGGTAATAATGGCTCTCCTGTTTGTAGTACTCTGGAGGCTTGCTTTCTCGAGATGTGACCACAGATCAGCAGCATCAGCCTCACCTGAGACATATGACAGCACCAAGTGGGCCACACTGAGTAGCAGGGTCTAGAACCCAAAATACTCTGGTATCTACCTCTTCTTAGTCAACAGCACACCCTAGAAAGGAGAAGCTAGGGATTTTTGTCCTCACTTGACCCAATGTCACACAGAGGTTAAATGGCAGTGCCAGGACACACTCGTTCTAATTCTAAACACAGTTGATATATTGCATATGGCTCATGGTAGTCCATGGGGATTGCTTGCTCGAGGTGCAACCCTGGATCTGGACCCCCCATTACCACCAGGAGTCCTGGGCTGTATCACTGTGGGAGCACTCAGGCATCTTGGGACAGTGGCCTCTGACAGCGTCAACACTGTAATTCCCTGCTCGGGCTGAGCCCTGGTGCCTGGCCAAGAGAGACCCAGGCCAATAGGGTGACTCTCTTAAGCCCTTGTTCTACAACCCCCTCTATCAATTGTCCACTTACTATTTTTTTTTTTAATTTTGGCACCAGGCCAAGTAGCCACTGAGTAGATCAATAAGGAGGGGTTTGGATTCTGGGAGTGGGAGACAGAGTGAGATACCCAGTAAAGAGAATGATCGGGGAAGGTGTCTGAGCCACGTGTCACCCTGGCACTAGGGATCCTGGAATCCTATGTGGATTATTCATTTGCCAGGCTTTGTAAACCCACTCCCTGGCTGGCAAGACTGACCCCACCCAGCCTCCCATCAGTCACTAAGGACTGTGAGCTCTGTCTCTGTCACCTGCTCTGATGCTTTATCCAGTCTCCACTCCCTCCTCCATTTCCACCTTATCCCGTCTTCACTGCCTGGTTTCCTAACTCCATGGCTTCTACACCTCTAGACTCATTAGACTATTAATGAGTTATCCCACCTCTTTGGGCTTTTGGTCAGTTCATGCCTCTGTCTCAATTGCCCTCCCCCCATATCTGTCAATCACCAGCTTTCCCTTAAGGTCCAACTCAAAGCCCGTCTCTTTCAACAACCACTGCAAAATCCTAAGGGCTTACTATGTAGCAGAAATATCACCAACATTCCATTTGGTCTTTACCAACTGCTCTGCCTCAAAATGAATCTTTCTCTCCCTCTAGTTTACTTTCTCAAACTTTTTTTCTTCCCATTATTACCACTTAAGGAGCCTTTTCAGACGTCCCTTCCATTGCCTCCCACCCTTCATGAAATTTAAATACCACAGATACACTATCTGCTTGTGTAAATCTATGTATATCAGTGCTTTATTTATTAAAGAAAAAGATTTTTCACCCCCCAAGGAGCCCATTTTTACCCCTTTGGGAGCATGACCGGGACCTTATTGAGAATGCAAGCTCTATATCAAGTTCACTCTGAGGTTTGACCCTTATCATTGAGTTTGTAACTGGCTCCCTGCTACATTGTGAGTTCTGTTCTGGTTACTGTGGCTTAGTAACAATTTTCCTCAAAACTCAGTGATATAAAACAACCGTTTATTATCCTCACAAAATCTGTGAGCTCACAAATTTGAATGGGGCACAGAGGAAGGCCCAGCTCTGCTCCACACTGTCTGGAACCTCCGCTGGGAAACTCAAAGGCTGGGGCTGGAATAAATAGAAATCTCCTTTGCTCTCACACTTGGCAGTCAAGGCCAGCTGCCAGTTGAAGCTACTGGCCAGAACGCCTACATATGGCCTCTTGGGCCACCTTACAACATGGTGGCTGGGTGTCCAAGGTGAGCAGCCCAGGTGAGAGAGTCTTTTTATGGCCAGCCCCAGAAGTCCTGCAGCATCATTGCCCCCTGCGCTCTCTTGTCGACGCAGTCACAAAACCACACCAGTTCAAAGGGGGGGGAAATTGACTCCACCTCTCGGACGGAAAGTGATAAATAAGGTTGCGAATCTTACATGGGACGGGAGATGTAGTCGCTATTTTTGGAAAATACAATCTGTTGCACTCTGTTTATCTGTGACCCTTGTGCCCCACCTCCAACTCCCACTCCATCTTCATAGGGCCTTGCACGTGGTGCAATTTTGGTATACATGTATGAAATTTATTTGGATGCTCTAAGTCGGGAGGAGAGGATGAAGCCCCAGGTCTTGGTCCATTCTTGCCATTACCAGCATGTGGTTACCTTGGTCCAGAGATCCCTGGAGAGGCCGGCTGAGGGCAAGGAGGCTTACTGATGCATCAAGATTCCCTAGAGTAAATGGTGAGTAGCAAGCATCACAAGTAAGATCCTGGTGAATAGTTATTTCTAGAAATGTCCAAACCAGTTAAATTCCTCTCTATATATTAGATATCTATATATACACACGGATATATATGGATAAATAGATTGATAGATATAGGTACATAGATAGACACAAACATATATACATAGAAAGTGAGAGTAAGTCACTCAGAGTTTTTGCAATAGAATTTGACTTACATTCATTTCTCAAGAAGCCTGTTAAAAAACTGATGTTGCCACTAATCAGCAAAATACCGATCTCTCCCCCTTTGGCAATATTCTTTCTATCTGTATTGATATTTTTGTCTACATTGCTATCATTAATACAATAAAAGATGTTTTTAAATGACAATAATCAGTACTAGGAGCCATAAAGTATATACAA